GAATCAGATTCCTGAATTGAAGAATGTTGGAAAATTCTTAAATGTAAATCTAACTCAAAATATCTGTATTTATATATACAGTTAGCTTTTCAATTTAATAGTTGTATTGTGTGTACTGAACAGTTTCAGCATATTACAAAGAGAGAGCAACAGAGAAAACAGAGCTGGTGAAGATCAGAATCTAAAAAATGTGCAGGTTGTACACATACTCCATAATATATGGAACTTAAAAGCTTGCTTATAAAATGACCTTGTGATGAAATAAGTACCATTAATTTATTCAAGTAAACACACATCTAAAGTAGTACATTGAGTTACTCAGTATATCACTATCTGCTTTTTATTCTCACAAGGCCACTATTAATGGCATGCAAAGTTCAACTACTCCAAAGGAAACTTAAAAATATTAGTTTCTCACAAACCCACATATATCTGAAAAACAAATTTTGTTGCCTTTTGTATAAAAAATACAACACTCTTTTTTCCCCAATTTCATTTTAAGAGGAAGGGCGTTCATTTTCTAACCGTGTTAATGCATGGGCTCTGTCTACCTAAAAAGAAGACTGAAAAACTGATCACGCTTCAGAAGTTAAATAGCTTATAACTGGATAAAGAAACATTCAAAGGACTATTCCTGCCATCCCTACTCCCACGGAACAGTAACTTATTCTATTTCTGTTGATTTCAAAGGTGTCTACCAAGTTCAAAATTTCACTATGTCCAAAGTAAAGGCATCCTCAGTGGGTAGACAAATTGGGCACAGAAACTTTCAAATAATTTCACGATCACATTTCCAAGTGCCATGCCATCCACTGTATACACAAATGTCTAGAAGTGTCCTTCTGCTTTGCAAAATGATTGAGAACACCCAATGTTTTGTTCAGCTCTCTCAAAAGGGGGTGCAGAGAACAGGAAAACCATGAGCTCCAACAACAGTTCTGCTACTCCATGTGTCGGACTACTTCGGTGCATATTCAAAGAACAATGTTTGTGATGTGAAGTTGAAAGTTCATACATGAATTTTCTTTCTGTTCTCATGTAGCCTTAAATTTGCCTTGCTCCATGGAAGAGATTAAAGTATCTGGCATTATTTGAAAGTGACTTAGCTACTATTTTAAGATATTACTCTTGGAAGGCGAACATTTTGCAGCAGTCTATCTAGGTTTAATGTATAGAATTCTCATGGTTGGAAGAGACCTCAAAGATCATCAAGTCCAATCATCTATCCAACATTCAATTTACAATTGATATTCTCTACAGTATTGAACAGTAGACTAAGGAGCTTAAAACATCATGCATTTTGAATATCAAAGTATAATTTGGGGCACACCAATGTGCAACATTACTATGTATTTGATTTTCTGGGAAAAAAGCATTTAGGAAAACTAACATTCTTAGGAACATAGAACATTAATAATTTCAACATTTTTGTTTAACTGAATCTAAGAAAAATACTGTAAAACTTCAAATGCATGAGCTTGCTTTGAGAATGTATTGTATAGCAACAGGAAGTATTTAAGGTTTCTGTAAAATGTGTAAGGATAATTGCTTCCATTTACTGTGGAATGTTTTCTGCTCTGTCAAAACCAATACGCAGTTATTCTCTGCATTACCAATAAGGTGCAAATTTCCCATCGGTTAGGTCATGCTGACATTTCTTTCAGGGTAACTCTTAAGTAAGTTTGAAACACAAAGTCTGAGGGCTTTGTGAGTAAAGAACTACACATTGTGAAATGAGACTGAGCTGCGGATGGGGAATTCTGTTGTTTGGTATTTGCAGAGCTAAAAGTTGGAATGCACTTGCTTTTTAGAAGTGATGAGCAATCTTGATTATTTCTTATTAAGTGGTGAGTGCTCCAGCATATTCTGAATAAAAATGAAGGCCTAATTGTCACATTAAACTTCTTTTGATCTAGTCTAAGAGAAATTCCTCAGATGATGCAAACCCCAAAGCTCTGTTAACGTTAATGGAACTATGCTAATTTATACCAGCTAAGCAGGATTTGCGGACCCTTTGCTGACACCCAAGAAGTGGAAAAAGGCCTCAGTATAAATAAAAAACAGTTGTACATGATCAAATCCTTGTATCAGTGAATTCACGAGAAGTTTTGACATTGATCTCAGTCGGGTCAAAATTCCATGCAGAGTGGCTACATGCACACATAAGCTCTGTCATCAAACATAGCAAGGATTTGAGGTTTTTCTTTTCACTAAGTATGAAAGACGAATGAGTTTTACCAATAATACACACACGCACGCGCACACACACACACATATATATTATACTTATGTCATATTCTTTTTATGCATAGTTCTCAGAAAATTCAGCAGATGATTAAAATTTCCACAATTCTTAAAAAATTAAGTAACTATATAGTTTAAAGAGAACTCCAAGTTTATGCGAAACATTAAAAGGGTGGTGTTTTTCTTTTTTTAACTTTTCAAGTTACTTAAACTAAAACTCTTGCTGACCTGGTCACTTTGATGACAGATGACAGTTTGTCATCTGAAGCGAGCCACCCTTACCTTCTGAAGTACAAACCCCTAATACAGATAAATAATTCATACCCATTATCTGGAAAGAGCCAAGATGAAAAGATGCACAACTACACTTGTAACTTTTACCATGGTATTTTTAGGATTTACTTGAAAATGCATGTCTGTACATCAGTCCTGTACAGATTCCACGGATGCTATAACAGCAATAGATGCAGAAGACAAGTGGGAAACAAAGCCTTTCTCTTTTGTTTTGAGAGAATTAACTTTAAGAGTGGAGAATGCCAGGATATTAAAGCTTACTAATCACTTAAAACACAAAGCAAACATTAATTACAGCTGAAGTAAGTAAAAGCTAAATACACTCTCAGAATCTTTCAGATTTTCTATGCTATACATTTAAAGACAAGGTATCAACGGCATGCATCTTCAGCATTTAAAATGCATTTCATGGGTTTGTCTTCATTCTGATGTTTGAACGCAATTCAGACTCTTTACTTTCTCTTCCCTTGGCATGGCTGGAAATTTCACCAGTGTTCAGAGTTACTCTTAATGCTTTGAAGCTCCATGAGGTACATTCACCTCCCGTTTACTTTGTCTTCATCCAGTATTTGCTTCTCCTGAACAGAGGACACCACTGCTGATGAATTCGTGAGGCTTTCTGGGGTGGGCAACCAGCCACCCGGCACCTGACAGAGACCACGTGTTGCTGTACACACGACCTTTGCCAGCCATAAATACAGCTTCTCATAAGCAAAAGGCTAGAACACAGGTCCACGGCATGACTTTGCTTTCAAGTTTTATATACAATATTGAACAGTATGTTATCTGTATCCATTTCTGTGTTTTCTGTCAGTTCAGAGAACTCCATCTGAAGACACCAAGGTAAGGTAGAGGACACAGAACTTAAATTAAGGATGCAAAGGTATGACTTTCAATGATTACACATAGTTGGAGGCATTTGAAAGATGCTTTTCGGTCAGGACATGTACTTTGTTTGCAGTCAGCTGCAAGTATTAATGCAATTAAAAATCCCCAAATGCCACACAAGGTAGATATTCACATAAGATACAGTCCTGCTAAGTGCACACTCTTCTCGTCGTCGTTCAATTCAGTGTTGGTTTCACAGTAACAAACACAAATTGTCCTCATTTCTATATCATGTCTATGGAGTCATGGGCAGCAACAACAGATGCAGACTCAGTCTGTCACTCCAGAAGGAATACGAATGTGCTTAAAGCTGCTTCATTTATGAAGCGAACATGGAACTGTTACCTGCCTGAAGAAAACAACAGAAATTATAATTTTGCTGAGTAGTTTTCCTCCCTACATTACTAAACAGTAGAGCTTTTCAGAGACGTATAACAGACATTTTTTTCTTATAATTTCGGAAGTAGATAAACTCAATGACACTTGCGTAGACTTTCCTTTATTCTGAAAGAAAAAGATGTACTTTCCTGGTCCAAGAACACACTTGCCTGCAAAAGCTCAATGATGTCATCTATGGTGATGAAATAACTCTCATGGTTTTACAGAACTGTTATGTTTGTGCCTTTTGGTATCCGACAATCTCTGGCAACAAACTTCCCTTTGAAGTCACCTGGATAAGCCAATACCAAACTGAGTTTACGTCTTTGGAAAAATCAAATGACTTGTCCAATGCAGTGATGATTTCCCTTCTCAGTGAGCGTATGTTAGAACAAGGCAGTTGTTAAGAGACTGGAAATCTCTCAAGTTGTAGCTAACTTGATGACAACAAACACTCTGGATTACACCTGAGAGTGACTGCTACAGGATGAACTGCAAAACTTGGATTGCCTGTTATACCCTTACGCTGCTCTTTCCACTCACGATATAAAATGAAGCATTCAGTGCCATCAGAATCTTCCAGACCCCTGCCAGAGATGCCGTGGTTGGGTACAGCACAACTCCCACGGTGAGAAGCCCCTTGCCAGAGATGTGCACCTCTCTGCAGAGAACAGCTGCGACCAAGAAAGCTCACTCGCCCTTGCTGCTCACTCCTACATATGAACGCAAGAACGACGTATCTGATAAGGCTACAGAGACTGCAACCTGTGCGGACTGAACAACAATTAACAGAAGCTCAGCTCTACTTGGTCTGTTCTCCTACGCTCACCTGCAAGTTTAAGGGTTGTGGGGTTTGGGTCACGCTGCTTTGAAACAGCTGTAGGACAGCAGCTGAAGACTTCTCCCTATCAGCTCTCATGCCAAAAAGGAGAAGCAGTAGCTGTCCTGCATTTTGGAATTCCAGCATATTTCATTTTGTACCATTCAAGGTAAAAGTCAAATGCCTAAATTAATGATACAGGATTAATTACATTAGGTGCTAAGGATTTTAGATACCAGGAAGCCTACTGATAACAAGTTTTATTTTTTTCCCCAAATGAACTCTGAGTAACTTTATATTTCAGCAGCCAAAAGTTAATCATAACAACTTACCAGTACACAAAACAGTAACAGTGTTGAGGGAGAAAAAGCAACAGCTACACTTGTAGATGTTCCTTTTCTTTTTGCTGCAACATACTGAAAAAAAAAAAAAAGGTACTTTATGACTACAACGCTATGTTTCAAGGAAATAGAATGGAAGGGTTTATCAGTTAGTTACAATAAAAGGGTACCCAAAGTATTAGAATTTATGCTTGCTATTAGGTCTTCCTAGTTATAGATGAATGTTACAAGTTTCTCAGGGAGGAGGGAGAAAAAAACCACATGCCATATATTTAAGAAGATGTCTGCTGGAGAATGTAACCTGTTTAAATTTCCTGTTAAGGCCTTCTCCTGCATTTAACTAATTGTTTCCTCTTTCCTTCCTATAAAGCAATGTTTTATATTTCCTGTGAAGTTAAAAGGAAAACGCACGTTCCATTTCACAAGTTTTAATACCTGTGAGGATGAAGCGCAGGAGGAGTTATTTGTAGCAATTAATATACTTGGTGAATACAGCCTTCCATTCTGTGTAGTGTACATGAAAAAAATTTGTTTTAAGAATGTACTATTCTAGAAAGTTTAAACACTGAAAATTTCAGCTCCTGTGACCAAACTGCTAGATCAGAACGTCGCTCATTTCTGCCTTCAACAGCGGGCAGCACCAGGCGTTTCACACAGTGTCAGAAGACTACAGGGTAAGATCTGTCCTTCTGCCATCTGCATCAGAGCTTTCCCTTCATCCCTCAAAGTTAAAATTTGACCAAACCCTCTGATACATGAGGTTAACTAATACTCTCAAAATGCTTTAGCATGAACTATTCTAACTTAAAATATCCCTAAGTCCTTTTCTGAATTTTACAGATGTCTTTGCCCAAGTCATGTCCAAGAAACTTTGAATGTCCTCAACTCTTATTTCTATGGTGTATTTGACTGACTGAGTTACACAGAATTTTTTCTGCTTAAAAAGCAGATAAAGCAGTGTTTAAGTATGAATAGAGCTGTGAATCATTTCAGGATGACCTTAGGAAGTTATTAGGATTTGAATGAGTTCTCATTAACTTTCTATGAACATTAAAAAAAACCCAGAAAACATAGACACTTATATATACATACTCTAGGGAATATAAAAAAGTGAAAGAACATAAACAATGTTAATGTACAAAATATTTAGAAGGATTTATCAGCACAGGCAGGAAGACACTGTTTTCTATTTACTTACATAATATCAACCTAGCTTTTCACCACCCAGCAAATAACAAAATTCACTTTTTTTTGTTGCTTCCCCTATACGTCTCAGCAATCCTTTCTCACAGTGGGAGTAAGGACAAATAAAGTAAAGGTAATGTCCCCTTAATAAAAATTTGTATGCAGAAATCTCCTCCATACCAATTCTGATATTTAAACTAGAAACTTCTTTAAAGGACAAACCCTAAGAACACATTTTGCCTCTACAGCAAAACATTGTGTTTGGGTTTTTCTGTGTTTATCTTAGAGCTAGAGAGAAACCTTCCGGAAGTAGCTCTCAAAGATAAACTTACATTTGTATATACGTATATAAAGGGAAACAATATACCTTATCTCATTTTCCTCTTGACAGTCATGACACTGTGTAGTTTCATCACTTTCTGGTCTGGATTTGGGATGTGTTTTCTAGGAAGAAAATGCATTAAATGTAAATATTCTAAAGCTTTCTTTAACAACACCCTAAACTATTGTTGTATGTTTCAGTTTGCTTCAGATTTTCAGTATTAAAGTAATCTTGCAAAATGTAGGCCAAATCTTGTCCTCTAACATAGATCTGCTACTAGTATAATTTTACTATCAAAGCCTTTGTATTGTAGGCAGAGGCACAAGGGGCAAAAGCAAAAGAATCCTCTTCTCAGGATACAATAGGAGAACTGGGAAATTGGGGGAATGCCATGTTTTTCATTTCCAGTTAGACAGCTATCATGCTGATAAGACAGGATTTGCACTTTGGTGGTGGAATTCAAGAATTTGACAACACAGATTTACATTTGCATGTCACACAGTTCAGTGAAGATCAAAAGAGATGTCTCTTGCTTTCAAATGCAGAATGGTTCCATTCTTCCCACCTCCCCATGGCTACAAAATGCAGTATCACTACGTAAACAATTAAATGTAATATTTCTTACCTTCCAGTATACGGCTCCCAAAATAAAGCCAATAAGAAGAGACAGCAGTGACGTCAGTGCTATGCTGACCCCTTGCAGGCTGGAGCTGCTAATGAAGCCAAGTGCCTCTTCTGTAATTACAGATGTTCTCATTAGTGAAGACAGATTTATAGCAGAAAACTATCTTCAGGGCAACACTATTAGCAAGAGCACTTTTATGCACCACCTAAATAACAGCATCTTAAATAGCAGAACAGATACTTCAAAGTGCCGTGTACACGAGGTGCACTTCAAACAAAATCTCACAGGAAATTTTTGACCACAAGGATGCTCCTCCCATTTCTGAAACAGCTGTCTTGAATAGTTCCCACACTAATTATCTTTTTTTCATTTGTAGGGCATTTTCTCTTCCTCATACTTCAAAGTTTTGGGTTTATCAATTTTTAAAGGTCTTATTTTGTAACGCAAAGTAATTCTTTGGAAGACAATATATCTGTCACTTCATGCATTTGCTTAAGTTCCGTAAGACACACCCCACTGACTGCAGATAGACATTTGCTTTGCCACTAATGAATGACCAACATGAGGCCTCTCAAGGAAGGTTAATTTAACAAAATAAGCCTGACTTAACTTCTAATGTCTGTCTGGAAAGGTCCCACTGACTGCAGGAAGATCAAACCCTTGTACCTCGAAGTCTAGCTGGGTGTTATTTTGTTGTAACCATTTCTTGATAGATTTTTACATTTCATATGGAAGACCCCCAATCCTAGTGTTTTATGTACACAAACAATTCCATTCCCCTCACAGGGAGCTGTGCGCATGCTGAGACTCAAACGTGGCCCTCCAGTTATTTAATCAAGAGCAGGATGTGAAAAGTCCTACAGAGTCATCCTGGGATCCACCTTATGAAATGCAAAGCGAGCCACAGGAGACTGCTAGTTTAGGCACCATCCACCCAGTTTTGGTTCATTTCAAGATTTGGTGTCTGCAGCTGGAATGGTGGGTGTATTGTCAGACTACAGGAAAAAAACCACTCTGTAAGCACTGGAAAAGTGTAAGTGATTAGATACAGAAATGAAAATGGACCGATAGCACTAGAAATCTGTGTGACTCATGCAAACAGCAAATGTCTAAGCACGTACGGTATGATATACTGAGTCAAGCAATGTGCATTTAGTACATTATTAAACAGCTTCTAAGAAAACACTTTAGAAAGGAGCATTCTCATAACTAACTAGCAACTCATTTTCAACTCTCTGAGATTGGTTGACACTTTGTAAGTTTTTACACAAATGTTCTTTTTATCTCTGAAATTCAGCTGTGTTTTCTAGAGTCACGGTTGACAGAACTAAAAAGTAAGAAAACAAAACCTCTTTATCTTATATATTCATATACTACATATATCTCTCTCTGTATCTCATACACTGTTTACAAACTCTAGGTTCTGACTATAGGGGCTTGAATGTTACTTACATCTGGTAGATTCGGCACACTAAAAGGAAACATCAGTCAAGTAGAATCGATGCTAGCTTACCATGAAAGAAATCTGTCTACAAAGGAGAAGGGAAAGATAGCAGACAAAGTTCTACAGAGGTGAGCATCAGCTGAAAAAGAGAGGCTATCAATTAATCTGCCTCTGTCTGCTCAGACACTACAACCAAGAGCAGAAATTAACTGGAGTGGCATATCTTTTCTCAAACTGTCCATCCCAGGTAAGCAGAGAGGACGTTTTCTTGCAGAACTGAACTTCAAGAAATCTGGACAAACTCAAGTGTGGTAGAGCCACCCTGAACATGCCAAAAAAAAAATTCCTGTTATTATTTTATCTGAATTGTATTCTCAGAAGAAAATTCCTATATTGCTCTTGTGCTCTAGCCAAGAAGGCAGCAACTCTGATTTGCCTAATACCATTAGCCATTCTTCCCAGTGACAGACTGCGGAGTTATACAACTGAATTATGTAAAGCCTATGGGGATGGTCATGTTTTCTGGATACTGCCCTGCAAACTTCAGAAAAGATGGAAAAGAGAAATAAAAATCAAAGGAAAAACTCCTCAGGTCATATAAAGCATAATTTATTTGATAACATGTTATGGTAGAGCGTATAATCTCAAAAATCCTGTGCCTACTCTGCAATGTTGGGCAGCATGTCATGGCAAGCGTGCTGTTTTTTACATAACTTCTAGAGAAATGTTCTGTATGCAGGGTGATCAGTGGTAGTTTAACACCCTCATTTTTACCATTATTTTTCATAGACTTGAGAGCTCCCTTTACACTGAGGTATCTAAAAGTGGAAAAATCAGATTTCTGAGAAGATATCTCCAATGCAGATGCCTTCTTCAGCATCTATGGAAAACTGAAAGGAATTAATAATTAGCTTTCCACGTGGGGACCTGCAACCCAGGGACAGAGCCTAAATACAGTCAAATTGTGACACCGTCCTCAGCCTACCTTTTAAAAATGACAACAGATTTTTTTTCATAACCTGATAGTATATGAGTTCATTTGAAAGTTAAGTAACCCATAACTATTTCAAAAAGCAAACAACAACAGATTATTTAATTTCACTTTCAAATCCAGAATAAAATCTCTTGAAAGATCTGGAGAGAATGAAATGAGTCATGGCAGGTTTCTTCATGTGCCTTTTATTTATAGTAACATGTAAAACAGAACAGGTTGGAGAATTTTCAGTCTGGAGAATCTCTCGGGGACCTGTGTCCTTATGAAGAAAAGGGAGATAAGGAAAGCAAGCTGGTTGTCAATAGGTTTTTATTCCTTCCATAGGGACTTGGTCCTCTGTTAGAAACTTTAGAACTCTACACAGAAAGATTCCCACTCCCAGCAGTTGTAAAGGCAGAGTAGGAGAAGGAATAGGAGGAACCAGGTGTATCGGTAATTTTGTGAACTCTCTGGGCAATGCCAGAGGAACTGCTGGCTTTGCAGATTGTGTATTATTGACTTAAAACAGACTCTATCCAGCAAGGGGCAAAAGGGCAGTGGAAGCAGGCCAGCAACTCCCAGAGCTCTCACTCTGCACCTTGCGGAAGATTCCCTAAGGAAGTGAGCTCATCTGATCTGGCTTCATCTATAGTCTTCATGGACACACTGGGTGTTAAGCTGTGAACAAAATGTATTTACATTAAAAGCCACTCAGCTACACAATGAAGTCATTGAGCCGCTCTCCACCTCGAGCCACGTGTGTAGGTTTAGCAACCGCTTATGATTCAAAGCACTGGCTTGATTTTTTTGCCGTATGTGTCTCAAAGGAATTTTCAGTTTACCTCTGCTCAGCTCCAACACGATTACCACAAGATCTTATCTATAAAAATGCAGAGCAGCTCTCACCTGTTCATTAGGGTTTTCCATTAACTATAAAGTTGGAACAAAGGAACAAAGGCACAGAAGGCAACACCAATTGCATTAAGCCATGGGGGAACATTTTTTAATTGTTGTGCAATTATTGAATTAAACTATGATATTTTTTGCTTAATTATAAAAGGAGACCTTCTTCCTAAAAACAGCTATAAGGATCTCTGTGTTTACATGTTGAGCTGTTCAGTGCTGAATAATAAAGCTAAATTATTGTGAGGAAATTACAGGCAAAAATGGAAGAAAGCAACACAACTTTCCATGAAAATATAAATAATACCGTGGAACTCAATTGAGTGAGAAGCATTAGTAATAGCTAGTAAGTTCATCCCTTAATCAGAGCAACATGAGATTCATCTGATGGGAAGAAAAAATGCTTCTATTTATTGTTTGGTTCAGCCACCAAAAGAAGAGATGAGGACTCCAGACCTCTTATCCTGACACTCGTTCTTTACGTAGGAACTGCCTCATCTGAGTTCTCTTGACTATGCATGGTATAATGATTCAGAGAAATCCCAGTGAGACTGGGATTTAAAGAGTTAATTGGAATGTAAATTGGACTACAGTCATGTAACACAAAGAAAAGAAAACAAACCAGCCTAAATAAACTGAAGGTGGTAGTAGTGGCGTTTTGAAAATTTTATGGGGGAAAAGATGGAGTGGGAACATGCCACAGATCTACATTTAATATTACAAGGATGAAAACAGCACTATTGCCATTCAAAAAATTTAGAACAGGACAATTGTTCCATTTTACACTTAGCTGGGGAAAGACCTTTGGTGTAGATTTAGTCAAGATTCTACTCTGTTATAGTAGTTTCATTTTATTGTCGTGTAATAACAATGAAGTAATGAAGTAAGACTCTTTCAACAAATGCAGCAACAACATAAACCCCCGTAATTTAGCTAATTTATATTATATACAATTTCTATGATAATTATTTCACAAATTATTTTGTTAGATGATGCACTTCAGGTTTGTCTAACTTGAATTTAGAATTAAGAGCAGTTCAAGTCATCTGACTATACAGACTTTATTAATAGATTCAAAATTTATTCCTAATCTGGAGGGGTTCTTTTGCAAACAGTGAACACTTCTAAATGGTCTAGAAACTATTAATTTTAAATTGCACAATTTGAAACTGTTTAAATTATTAAAGTAACTATTGCAGTAGTTTGTGTCTGGAGATGCTTTTTTCAGGTTTCCTCTCTTCTCCAAATGTTTTCCTTTTTGAAATTTGAATCTAATGGTGCTGTTCTGAGAACAGTACTGAAGCCAGCAGACAGGGTCCCTCTGTGCTGGGGAGTCTTCACATGGGAAGTAATAAGGTTTATTCATTGTTGCTCCTTCTGAGAAGGTAGGGATTAAGTAAAAAAGAAAACTTACTCAGCAATAAAGCCAAGACAAAACTAAAATCAGTACTGAAGACTATTTTCAGGGAGTAAGACAGAGATGCCAATAAAGATGCCACAGGTCCCTCCCTGCATAAAACTCCAAACAAATAACTAAAGCGTAACCAGTCTGCATCCAGTGTCCAAGTTAATGTAATTTAATCTGATTACGAGTTCAAACTGTCCCCAGCACCAGACATGCAGTCCTCATGTCATTTCTACAGAAGGCTGTTAACTGATATCCAATTTTCCAATAAATTGCTTAAGAGAATGATAATCAGTTAAAACACACCTGTACAGCATATGGTCAGCCAAGCAACTTCTTTGACTTACTGCATTATTTTAATTAGGCTTTTTCCCTACTTGATTATCAGTTCCAGTTATAAAACAAGATTAATCAACCTGCTTCTGTACTCCCCTCCACAGTACAGATACAGGTGCCCGACATCCCTCCTGTTACTGTACTGGGTCAAACGCCTTTCCTCTGAACTGCTCCTGTAATCTATCTGTCTTTCTTTTGGCTCCTTGATCCATTCCCATCGCTTCAGGCCACAGCTGAATATTCTTCCTCTAGCAGTGACAGCAAAAACTATCTCATGTTCAGACCTGAGAGAGACAGGTATGCGCTCTTTAGCCCCCTCCTGGTGCCTCATAATTGCCCCTGGGCTCATCAGGTTATTTGCAGCCAGCTCCATGACCTCTTGGTGAGGAATTTATGGCAGTGAGATTTCTCCTTTCCAGAGAGGCAGGCTGGCAGCCAGGAGTCGAAGGTGGTTTTTGTTCCAACCCTCTACTCAGAGGGGAAGGATGACTTAAGACCTTCTCTTAATTAGAAAGCAATCAGGAAGGGCTTCAAATCTGACAGCAGCTGTGAGCCAGCTAAGAGGTAGCATGCATGGTGATAAAAACCCGGAGGATAACTAGATTACACATTTCCAAGAGGAGGAGCATGAGAAGAAACTCAGTCTTCATAATAGCTGCCCCATTGTCAGGAGCTACTGTCTTGCCCACCAGGCTACATCAGGCTGCCTCCTTGCCCATGTTTTCTTACGCACGAGGAGTGCCAGCCACACACTTCATCGTCACACATTTAGATAGCATGGACGCTTGTGAAGTGAAAGGGGGAAATTGTAAAAGAGAGAGACGTTGTCATCCTGATGCGTTCAGGAAACAGGGAAACAACATCATGTTTAAGCTTTAATCACCATTGCAGGAACCCCTAAGGAAAATCACCTTCTTTTGTTCACATAGAAATTCCAGAGAGAATTCACCTTGTTGTACATGATGTCACTAAAAGCCCCTGAAACTTCACTGTTTCTCTTCACCTCAGATTCCTACACCCCTTCTGACCTTGTGATGGGTAATGTTGAGGCTCTTACAGCAACAATTCCGGGCTCTCCTATCTGTCAGTGACCAGTCATGTAATACACCGATCAAGACAGACGAGAAACACGGAGATGGCCCTGCCAGAGCGAAGATGACAGCCTGCCAAAAGTTGTCCTTGACCTCAACCAAGAGCACGCTGACTGTGGAGCTGGCCCCACTGCGACTACAGCAAGCAAACACGGGGACTCTTTCAGGTTTGGTGTCAAGCTTGGGAATGACAGTACTCTCAAAATGCAATGTACAAGCAACCTCTTTGTCCATGTGCGTACCTGGGTTCAATTTAGGAGAGCTATTCTGTTTGTTTGGAGCAACTTCCTTTTCTGAGAGTTAAAACGAGGTGTCTGGGACAGCCAAGTTTGCTGAGGCCATATGACTAGCGAGACCTCACGACAGCCAAAACGAAGAGACCTGCCCTCTCCAAATTGCAGAGAGCTGTCACATCGTTGTAACTGGATAGCATCTCTAAATTTTGATTAGATAAGCTCATTGCATTTTGGTATGACAGCTGAGAAACACATGGTACACCATCAGGCACAAGTAACTTCCCATTAATTTGCACAATTAATGACATTCTTTTCCTCTGAGCTCTCGTAACAACCAGCTACCAGAACAAAATGGAGACACATATATTAATTCAATCACTTGTACTTACTGTTACTGCTAGTGTTACTGCCAATGCTGTCATTCCTAAGGGAGCTGGCAGCAACAGGAGGAAACAAAAATGTTTTTGTGACAGCGACTCTGGAATCTAAATAGAAAATGAGTGTGTCAGCATTATGTAACTTAAAATACAGTTCCCTCTATATAAGATGATGGGCTATAGGGCTACTCTGATGTGGCTATAGGGCTGTTTGAAAAATCTGGCTACAGGGCTGTTTGTAAAGTGGATTAAGCCAAGAAAGGCAGTCTTATTAAGAGGCAGACGTGTCTACACGCTGAGCTGTTGCTGAATAGCTACTCTGGAAAAGCAATTGCTTTAAACGAGTTCTTAGGTTATGGCACTGATCTACTTCTAGATACTACTGGTGTAACTCTGCAACTGGATACGTTGCCCTAATTAAAAAGCTAATAGCTGTCACTAGAGAAAGTAAAAGAAAAGAGAGTACAAAACCTCCATTTACTGGAAGGATGAGAATGAACTGAAGGAGCCTGACTTGAGCTTGTAAACAGGGCCCTTTTTGGGAAGGGTGGGGTGAATATGGAGGTGACTTGAGGCTGCTGCAATTTACAACTTGTCCTAGCTTCCTATCCTCTCAGTAGTGCAATCTTAGGCTCCTTTACTGCCTTATGAAAATTAAACAGAGCATTAACAGAAGATAAGAAGAACAATGTAAAAAGACAGTCCAGGAAATATTTGGGATGAAAAGAAACACAGTGGAGTTTTGTGAGGTTATTTGGATTACATTAAGGAAAGATATCACTAGGAACGATGGCACTAGTTTTATTGCCAGATAGAACTCAGAACAGAAATGCAAGCTTTGGTGTTGGTAGTAATTCTAACTGGCAGTAAAAAGGAGACATGGAGGTACAGCATCAGATCCTTAGCATCTCTGAAATCAAAGGAAAATCACCCATTTATAGCTACTTAGATTCTGTTCCCCAAAATGAGAGCCATCTTACCATTCTCTGGTGTTTCTACTGTTGAAGGTAGAATGCAGTCATTCTTATCCAATGTGTCTGCAAACTCCTTGTATACCTCAATGGTACTATTAAAGTGCCTAAAAAAATCCTCAGGAATGAAGTGACCTTCTTCATAAAGGTGACCATTATCTTTTACAAAATCCTAGGGTAAAATATAGAATTCAGCTTAAAAGAAGGTCAAGACACATGTTCATTTCAGCACCTCAACAGATGATAAAAATATCCAAAGATGACACAAAATAGTTTAAATTTTTAACATGCAGAAGACCAAATTTGCTGTATACAATCTTCATAAAACATGCAAGCCCTCTGATCTGAGGATTTCAAACTAGCTTTGCAAATAGAAATAAATTATTAATCCAGTGTTGTAAAATTGCCAAGGAATGAAAGGCAGTCTCCTATCCTACGCTGACTTTTTTTTTTTATTTCCCTCATTAAAAAAAAATTTACCTTGATTTCACATTACTTTGCAATGTTCCACACGATCCTTTAAATCTGAACACAGGAACACAACACAATTATAGCTATTGTCATAAGACTACAGGGAACAGAATACAATAGCTGGGATACACTACTGCACAGAAGCAGGCTGAGATCCCTGATAATGTACCTAAAAATAAGAGCAGGACTACAAACAAGGAAGCCCAATCATTCTGAGGTCTAACAGACAAGTGTGTTATGCCAGACAACAACAAGATTGAGGTCCATGTTAAGATCATTGATGGTTATCTTCTTTTTGCCTTTTTACGTGACTCTGGCTTTCATAACAACTGTTTCTTATGCCAGCAGGTTGAATTTGGCCTGGGGTTAATCTTCACTCCCAAGAAGGAGGACAGTGGTAAAAACATGGGTTAAATATGTACTAAGGAAAACTTCCTTGTTTTGGCTCCGAAATTATTTCATGTTTAATGCCGAAAGTACTAGACATCAGATCATTCTGCCCTGAGGAAATCAATACCTAGTTGTTTCTCTGAATTACAGGATATTTACCTCTTCATTCTACAAAATAAAATTCCTTTTCCCCAACCACATCCCAGCTGAGTGCCTTGAATCATTAAGACAAGAATAGGGAAAAAAAAAAAAAGATATCCATTGAAGATTGGACAGAATTCAGTTTGAAATGGAAAGGTAGGAAAGGTCTAAATACTCTCAGCAATATAATGCCAATATATGACAAGGTTACAAGGTTATGCCACTCTAAATGAGATTGAGTGGTTTAGTCCATTTGATTCATTCTGGATGTTAAAAAGCTGCAATTACAACAGCTAAGGACTTGACAAAAATAAACGTATATGGAAGATGAAATCCTTTCCCTAAAGAACATAATGGATTTTGCCCATTTTGTTCAGTGGGACAAAACCTTCAACTACAGAACTTATTTTTAATTACTGATAAACTGGTTAGAGCTGGGTAAGGGATTAGAAAGTTAATTTTTTTTCTCCATCATTTTCACACAAGAGAATCAGATGTCTCTTGAGTGAGACTCCTGGAATCCTTCCAGTTGCTGTTGGAATCCAGAAATGCATGGAAAAGGGCTGATATCCTCTAGTCTTTGCTGTGTCTTTGTATAAAAAAAGTTCATTAAACCATGGTGAAGCTTTCAAAGCTTCACACACTGTGATAAATACTATAAGTATATTAATAGCTTCAATCACATCAGCTTTAAATTTACATTAGGATCACTAGCAAAATGAATAATTTAAGCTGGATGAACAAGGAAGATTTCTGCCAGTTTCAACCAGACCAGAATGAATTATCTTAAAGATGATGGTTACATTTTTGACTTCTTAAATAACTGTATACAGGTCATTGTACACACTATAATTCCTTGTAAAGCCATTTTACCTTGAAACTGGAGATAATGACTAGTCAACGTTAGCACAGTGTCCTCAATGCATTTCTAAACAAAGCAGGATTTCAGACGCACAGGAATAGAAACGAGAACAAATCTAATGAAGCTTTGGACATTTTTAAACTATTACCAAGTACTGTGCAACAGAAAATTCAGATTGAAAAATCCAGCATAAAAGTAGAAACTCTGTATAAGATTACCTTATTTTTATCAAAAGCTAGGCATGCCATAAGATCATTAATTATCCTTGTGAGATTATTGATGATTGAATAGTTGCTTAAGACATCAGACATATCTGAAATATCTGAAAATTTCTGCAGAAGAGTATGTAGACTCTTTGAAAATTCAGGCACCATCAAATGCAACCAACAGTGATTAGGCTGTCAGGGGACAAAAAGAGAAACAGAGGTGTAGATTAAATATCAGACTTTTGCAAAAACTGGTTAAGCAGCTCAACGTGCAAAAGTAGATTAGACTGTTCTTTCCAATTTAAATGATCTTGAAAGTCTAAATTAAAATTCGTCTTCTTTAGCGTGGCCAACTTTCTCTTCAGTCCTTTTGGTAAAATTTCTATTCTCACTGATACTGACATATTTATTACGTCTGTTAAATACCATCTCTTCATTAAATTTTTAATGAATGCTAAGCATAAGTCCATTGAGAATTTGAGCCTTGGGACATACTACTATGAACCCCAGTCCATGCTTTCATTAACCTATTTATTTTTTTTTAAAATAACTACTGCTTCAACAATTTTCTCCAGACTTTCTTTAAACCAGTCTCAGTTTTCATTTTATTATTGTTACCCTACACAACCCAGTTAAGCCCAAAGATCTTCGATTTAGATCTCTTTTGAGGAAGGTTTCTGTAAACATTTTGCATGACATCCATGTGTGCTTTTATTCACCTTTAAACTAGTTAGCTTAGTTAACTTGTTCCCTTCAGTTTTTTCACTAAATGCCATTCCTGAGAACAATTTCTAGATCTAAAAGTCTTTCTTCTCCTGAGTTTTCACCGACAAAAGGGTTCTGCACAGCTTGTCGTGGTATCTGCGACATCTATGCCAATGGAATAGAGTTCAAATCCTTTCACTAACACCTATGCAATTAGTTTGCAGATAAAGTTTGTACAGCTGTTTATGTGACTGAAACCCGGTAATTCATCTTGGTGCCTTAGAGAAAGTCATTAACTTCTTTTACTTAGATTTACATAACAGTAGTCAAGTAAATAAAAAAGCCACCAGCCCAGGAAAAACCTTAACTCAGTATGGTCAGCAAAAATACAGGTAATGCACTAGTCACACTGCAACAAGTACCTGGAAATCCCCTCCCAATAAATGCTGTATTTTTAATGGTAAATGTTATGAGAATTTATTCCATATGTGAAGCTATTTTTTCAATGGTTGAAAATGTCTCAGCATCATTAAAGCCTGCCAGATACAAAGATCCTGGCCCAGCAATCCCTAAGTACTCTCAGTATCACTAAACCAGTTTCCAATTGCTGCCCAGCAGACGGGCAGCATCAACTGAATCCATCCACTCCACCTGCTGCAACGCACAGCAAATGTTTGGTGACGTATTCGCTTCTAGACTTGATCTCCTTTTACTCAATTTCTGCAATAAACCTGCATACAGATTCTTTATTCAAAAAAATTTATCCCCTACTATTAATATCCTCACTCGGCAACAAATTACGTTCTCGGTGACACAGGGGTTGTTCTGCCTTGATGTGTAAATGTTTTTGATGAGGAAAAACACACTTCATGTTTTTGAAGACTAACCAGATTATTAGGCTTCTAGGCTTAAAGCATCAAATGTAAATACACTGTTCAGCTCCATCTGACTTTCCACTTTTGTGTACAACTCTCTCACACACTGATACCAAGTGGCAAGTCAGTATTATCACCTTCTGTAATTATCTCAACAAGGACTTAAAAAAAGAATGAAACAAAATGTGAAACGGATGGCGTGTGGCTTGATTCTGCTTCCCCTTTTTCCTTCAAGCACAACAATGGGAGGGGAGAGGCAGAAGCAAATAATCGGAGGACACTTTTTGAAACTCACTCTTGTCCAAGCAGCAGCAGGTGTTGTGCCGTGTCCTGTTGCCCTCACCAGACAGACAACGCGTTTTCCTCTGGTTTGGTTTAGGAACAGGGAAGCACGGAAGTTCTGTGTGCGTGAACTGCAAACCTGGAAACCCTTTTCCTCTGAGGTTTCGTGGGTGTGCATTCCCCTCTGGCAGGGACTAGCGAAAGCTTGCCACTTCTCCTAGCGAGCATTTGGCGACTCCGGCAGGGAGTCTATTTTGTTGCTCCTGCGGTTTAGCATGTGCGTGGGAGTCTCCTCTGACTGAACCGTTCTGACCTACAAAGCTGTATTTCATGAGAGCTTGAAGTTTTCTTTTCAGTAGTATCAAGCTGTGCAATCGCTTGCTATCTCAACACCTACCAAACACAGGGATGAAACCGTCGAAATTGAGAAATGTGACGTTGTTGGCAAGGAGAAATGGAGGTTTAACTCTGCTTTTTTGTGTAAACTTTGACCAAGATTTACATTCTAGGGCAACTGCAAACCTGGCTTCCCTTGTACTTCCAGGTAGTCCTCATTTAGCTTCTTCATTCTACACTTACCTAAAAGTTTGAAGTTCATCTCCTTTTCTGAGTTCAGCCCTTGCTGCTGTCATCTTTGCCTTTTAACCTTCAGGTCAGACTGCACAGTTCACTCTATTCGAGACTACTTTTAAAGCCACTCAGATGCCGTGAGCTAGTGCATAATGCAACAACTCTTCTGTTTAATGGATCGGGTCAGTCTGTTCCTGTTACATGCACTACACTGCCTTCCCATCTGCTTTGCACTCACCCTGCCTTTCTCCCTTTAGTCATCTACATTTGAGACTTGCTACCTTGGGTACACTTCCCACTTTACGCACACACCGAAGATTGAAATCTATTGAAAAAAATTGCAGTGCATCGTTCCAATCCTTTCAGAGCTGAACAAAGGGCATTCACCTTATGCAAAGCCGTGGGTTTCCCAGCTTGCAGGGACCTTGCAGAACCCAGAGCAAAACCTACTTATTCAGCCAGCCTTTGCTGCGGTATGCGTAACACAACCTGAAATCCCCAGAGAGGAATTTGGCAAAGTGGGATGTGAATACCACTGAATATTTCCTCCTGCGAAGGCATGTGGCCAAGAGCTGCACCTTCCATCACCATGACTGAAAGTGGTGTACGAGCAAAGGGAATATGGAAATCCTGGCTCCAAACTTCTCTTCTTCCTATTTATTTCTTGGCCGCTCATCGTAAATGTAAACCGGATCTAAGTTTCTGGATATGATGCAGCAAGATGACATGGCATTTAAACTATAGAAAAGAAACTGCGTACTGGCAGCCAAAACTGAACCACGGAGCAAAGCAAGAGTTAAGCAGTGAGAACGACCAGGACTCATCGCTCAAGGAGGCTCCCTGGCCTTCTTCATCCAAAGTGCCACCCTCCCCAGGAGCGCAGCGGAGGGAACAGCCCCCATCCAGCCCAGCTCTCGCCCATCAGCTGCCGCGCTCATCCCGGAGGCTGGGGAGCAGCGCTCGGGCTGCGGCTGTCCTCCACAGACCTCAGTCTCATCACATCAGGCACTAAAATTACTGAATTTCAAAAAGCACCACTGCCAGAGGATAATGGCAGCCAGTGTTACTTTCTTTTTCTCTGGATATTGGCTGTTTTCAGAAATGGAAATTTTTCCATTAGTTTTACATTGTATAGCATCTAGTACCCAATTTCCATAGCATTTGTTCTGCAGAGTTTTTCTGTCTAAGGAATCAAGTTTAAACTGGGTTTTCTAAAGTACTCTAAGTTTTAGTAAAAGCCTTGAGTTTCCAACAAAACTCATAAGAACACTGTCGGATCTGCCATAATACCTCGTGACCTCACAGCTCAGTGCCCTTCACTATCCCATAGCTTCCTTTTCCTCCAGCCATCTTCTTGTTATTCAGGACTGAGAGAATGTTGCTTCTGGCATCGTTCTCCAACATCATTAGGCAATATTGCTAGATTTGCTACAATGTTGTAGGACAGGATGCATTTTTATATGTGTTTCACACACAAATCGGATTTTCATAATGAAAACTTTGTAGAGACACAAAACCAGCTTCTTATATCTCCCAGATGATTTTCAACTACTGATGTATGGGTACAATGATTCATTCTTAACACAGGCACAATATTGTTCAGTTTAACTGACAAACTAGTCCTTTTCTTAGTTTTTTTCTTTCCTTAAAACAATCTAGTACAGTATAGCATTCAGCGTAATTTCTACTTTCATCTTGTTTCCTTCTCTCCTTTTTCCTGCGGTGTATACAACAATCAAGAGAGCATTTTCAATGCATCATTCTAAAAATACTTTTTTTTTAAATTAAGTAAAAACATCGAAAATATTTAGTAGAATAAGCAACAAGATAATATGAAAAAATTTTTAATACAAAATGTTATAAAATTTTAAAGAAGGTAGATGATGCTTTTTTGAAAGTATCACTATGTGTTAACTGTAGGATTATATAGAAAGAACAATACAAAGTATATTTGAATTAAATAATGTCCTCATTTTCTACCAGTTTGTTTAGTTACTGATGCTAGGATTTGCTGAACTTGGGGTTCTCTTTATTGGCTACTCAGTATTTGTTGTGCTTTAATGGCATTTCCACTGGCTAAAATGAGAAGGACACTCTACAGTATATTCCAAAGCACAATTAGAAGGAAGCTACTTCTTTAAGAAAGCAACAATTTTCAATTTACATGATGAAATAATACCGTAGTTTGAATTTTTCCAGAGAAAATGTTAAAAAATTCAATACGAAGAAAGATTTTTCTCAGATTCCTGTAATTAAAAAGATTTTAAGTGATGTGGGAATCTCTCTACATTTCTTTTAAATGAATACTTGTGAAGCATATGAGAAGTGAAATAACCATTATTTAGGTGTAACCCACTAAGCCATAGGACTAGGTCCAAAATGTTATGGTCATCACTGGTTCCAGTGGGCTATTTTATTGGGATTAACTTGAAGTGGTTGTACATACCAGACTATCCATCTTCGGGACATATTTAAGGGTTATCATATAATCATTTGGGAGATTTCCAACCTACAATAAACAGATAATAAAAATGTTATTACTGACTACACAAAGTAAGACTTAAATTTCCATCACTGTATTCAACAAAATCCATCAAACAGCGAACACAAATTTTCAGTAACCTACCAGGTGCAAAAGCTTACTCTGTTTCCTGTGGAACTGCTCACAAGTGAAGCATCTTTCCACATCTCTAACGTCCCCAGATCCGATCTGATCATATCCAATGCCACCACTTCCCAGCAGAATTAAAGTCAGTAAGGTGGTGAGGAGAAGTGATCTGAAGTTATTAATTCCTGCAGAAACTCCACTGCATTTTCATCTTTTCATGGCATGTCCTGGTGTTTACATGACAATTTTTATGTAACCCCCACGACTCCAAACAGTAGAGGACCTGGTAGTCTCTATGACTTTTTCCTTCCAATAATTTCCAACTTCAGCAAGCATCTGAACCTAAAGAAATACTTGCCTGCCTTGTGCATAGTTACGTACTAGGTCAGAAAGACACTCGAGCACAACTTTAACTTTGAAGCTGTGCCTCTTACTAATGACGAGCAACATAATTATATCATAGAAATATCCTGGGGCAAAGGAGAGTTTCCACACACGTAATCTGAGTGCGGCTTTGTAGATGTGGGTGAGTATAGGGTGTGTTGAACCAAGGACAAGCAGTGGAAGAAGGGTTCTCACTGAATTATACAATGCAATCTGCCACAGATGGGACCCAACACTACCATGAGACGTGGTGGATCATCTGGGGAATGTGCAGAGTGGGGAGATGAAGAGGCAGATGCTGCCATGACCCACAATCTCTTGAAGTACTTTTTTCAAAAGGTTTACCAATATTATGATGCTTAGTGTACAGCAAATCTATTTTCTTTTGTGTTAGTGAAAGATTCAATTGATATTTCTCATCCTGGTTTGAAATCCATTCAGTCAAAAGACAGTAAGCACATAGATAACTCCTTTGGTGAACCAGAATCTGTACTTTGTTCAGCAAAGCGTTTCTGCTTCTTTGGGTTAAAGATCATTCTGTTATGGCTGCTTTTGATTCTGCTGCTATAGCAACCAGCACAGGGATTATTTTCTTTCCTGTGCAGTTTTTACGTAGTATTTTGTTTGACACAACAGAATGTTTTATTTGTTAATTAAAATTAACTTTCAATTAAAAATTAAAACAGGAATTTCAAAATGTTATGGTTCTAGGAATGATCAAGGACAACACTTATGCACAGTCAGTCACTAGTGAATTCCAAACATTTTTTTTATTTACAATGTGGACTGAGCCACAATCTTTCAGTTCAATGACATCTAGTTTTCTCCTACAGCTTTAAAAAACAGGTTTTATACAAATGATCCTGGTAAATTCCTTTCTATAGATCAAGTTTCTTTTTAATTTTTTATTTTTATACCTACATATTCCCAACACAGCAGTGGCAGAAGTGCCACTAAAATTCTCTATATCAATTTCTATTTACCTAGCATTTTGGGGAGTTGATTCAAGATGCCATAAATACTGAAAAATATTGCAATACATTTGTTCTTTCTTTAGAACATCTGGTTTATTCTAAGTCCTCATCCACAATTTCTTGTGTATTTTTCCTTCCTCTAAAAACATCCTGACATGACGACACATTAATAGGTAACCCAGTTTCTTTTCCAGCTTCCTTTGCGTGCCTAGAGAGGTAGGACTAGCAGCATTTCAAGCATCAAAGATAGTGAAGATGTTACTGTGTGTGCAAAGTTTCCCACACTCACTCTAGAGGGATTCAATATTTAGCAATGTCAGCAAAAGCACTGTTCTTTAAGAAAGGTCACTGGAAGATTAAATTTGTTTCAAATCAATGAACACTACAAGAATTGATATGCATTATGTATACAAACTACTTTACTGGCATCAGAGCCTGTCAAGCACTTTTCATGCACAGTTAAAAAATGTAACTGCCCAAGAGCTCTTACAGCTTCGCAAACAAAGCCAGAGCATAGCTCAGCCTCAAGTATTTTACTTCTTGACAGACTGTGAATCAGAAAAGATATTTTTGAATTTACTACTAAAAATGAAGATCACTGGGGGGAGGGTGTCAAACATAAAATATATGCCCTGCCTCAAGAAGAAACAACTTGTTAAAGTTTTATTGATTAAACTCCACATGCCAGATGCTCTGCTGATGGTAAATGATGGAGCTCAGTCAAAGTGAGCGAGTTATATTTGTGTCCCCGTTGGACTTCCCAGCTCACGCACAGAAAATAGGGTAGAGCCCCGATGTAAGAGTGAAGGCTATGTCTGCACGAAATCTGTGCATTCTCTACTCTCTTCCTTTTCTGAAATGAATCTTGAAATTTCGTTGAAGGTTAACCACCAAGACTATGATCCAAACTCACCACTTGATTTTCAACTGCTGAAATGATCCTGAAAGGAGTGAACGGACTCTGCACACCAGCTCTGTGCGGGGTGCCCGACTGCTCCGGCTCCCAACAAGGAGCAGATGGAAAGAGGGCTTTGAGCTGCCTGAGCAAAAGGGGACAGAAAGGGACTGTCCCTTGGAACTCCCCCAGTCCTGGAATGCCTTTTTTGGTTCCTGGACACAACTCCTTGAGTGCAGTGACAAATCTGGGGGCAACAAAACACCTGCCTGCATGACATACCTTGGTTTAGACAAAAGTAACAGGTTTGATGATGACAGAGAACGTCAACTGATAATCTTGGAAAGTAATGTATAGAACTAAAAGAACCCTGCATTGCAATTAAAATGCCACAAAAAGTTTGTCTGATTTAGTGGAGGCGTGTGGTTGTAGAAATCCTATCAGACTCTGAGAAGAGGTGAAGAACAGGGAATCCAGACTTATGTCTTTAAATCCATATAAAACCAACGTTAAGTGCTATATTCCCAGTTGTAACAAATCTCAAACTAGGGAATGTAAGATTCCTTTTGACATACAGTGGTCTGAATATTTAATACAGCACTGTTAACACTGCATAACCCAAATATACTTTTAAAATATGCTCATGGTCACATAGATGGGGAGATGAAAAAGGGAGGTTACATAAAAATTATCTGGGTTCCATAAACTACTCTTTCATTGCAACAGCGGAACATAAGAGAGATGACCTATCTCTGCAGTCAAGTGCTTTGAAATGAGGGCTACTGCTCTTGGAAATTCTCTTTATTGTGACTGCTCTGAGAATTTTAAGGAGACAAGCATAGATATAATTTTTTTTTATATACACAGATCAAAGATAAAGTAAGTTGATAAAGTAAAAATTACCATTTACCATTGTCAGTGATTTCTTTTTTACTCTGAGGCATATGATGGGAAAACCACAATACTTTCCTTTTGGCTACCATTTCTACCTCCCATTTCTCTCTCCATCATTCCTCTTTTCCTACTCTTTAATACCTTTGCATTTTCCTTCTTTGCATCCTTGCCTTCTCTTTTCCTGCAGGAGCTACCACTTTCTGTCCATCATCTCTGCAATCTACTCTATCTCATCTGCTAATGAAGCAGTTAATAAAATCCTCATCATTTGGCTTAAGACAACATGCTAACGATTTCCGTTCACACTTCTTACAGCCATAGTGGCAGACTATTTGCAGGATAACAACACTGGATCATTTTTTATAACCTCTTCATTCAGCAGAGTTAGATCCATTTAAAAATAAATAGCAAATGATGCAGAGAGTGTGTAGTACACATTTGCAGCAAAGATGCAATGTGAAGGCAAAGTGTTTGAAACAGTATGTCTCGAACAAGCAACCTGGTCAGTAAATGCTGGCTATTGTTTGGGTTTCCATTCAAAAGAAAAAAATTGAATATCTTACATTTCATTAATGGGGGAAACCAAAATATGTAGGTACATTCTATACATACTGCACAGCTCAGTGAAAATTCTACTAAAAAATTGCTTTGGAGAAGCAGATCATGGAAGAAGAGGTGAATATCACATTTCGTTAATGGGGGAAACCAAAATATGTAGGTACATTCTATACATACTGCACAGCTCAGTGAAAATTCTACTTACATGTAGGTTTTTTGTTCATATGTAACAAACAGATATACAACAGATTCCTAATTCTTATGCAAAATCAGTGTCACAGTTACATCAATGCAGCTTTCTGCTGACTTACTGTGCTGAAAAGAACAATGGGGACAGGCTTTATTGACAGGTGCTGCAATTACGGTTTCATAATACGGAACATTTGTTCATCAAGTAATGTGTTTCCCTCCAGACATCTTCATTAAAAAAGAAGCAGGAGTTCAAGTGATTAGTAATGCAGAATGAATACTCTCTAAAGACTTTCATTCTCTATAGGTATGAAATCATGCTCTTTTAAAGTTCTCACTATTAAAAAACAAACAAAAAATGATTGTTCAATTGTTCTTCGCTTCTTAAAATAATTTTACTTAGGACACATTCTTCATATGACAAAATTATATTACAAAGATACAAATAAATTTAATCTTACAGAAAATACAAGTAATTTTTGTATGAACAGATACCAGTCTGGTTTGGTCTTAGGTTGATTAATGCTCAGAAACCTTACTGTTACTGAATCTGCTTCCTCTTTCCGATTCTAGCTTCTGGTATGAGTCTAGTATGATGTTAGTGAAAATCCAGATTAACACAACTGAAAACAAGTTACACCATACATCTGTCCTCAATTTATTACTCAACACAAAGTTGATTAGGCAAATGACCCACATTTTCAGGCACCGCACAGAATGCCTTATTTATTCTCCAATAGCTTAGGCTTAGTAGACATCCCTGGTCTATATTCACAGAAAGGGTTGACCGAGGCGTGTTCTTCTCCTATTCCTAGAATGCAATACAGTTGAGCAGAACGCAGCTGCCGCCATGCTCAGGGGTTTTCTACCAGTGATGACAGGGTTGTTTACAGTACTTGGAACAAGAAGCCCAGAACCAAATAAATGAAGACTAGGTTGTACCAAGCTACAGGCAAAAGAGTTTGGGTAGGGAATTGTGGCACTCTTTTGCAAGGTGTAAGTGAACTGCAGTGGAGGTAGGGAAGAACAGAGTAGGAAAAAGAAAGAAGAGGGACATGGACTCATGCTGCAAAGAATCTTAGCATGAGATAGGAAGAGGATGAGAATCTGCCTGGAGTTCATCAAGGAGCATCCTTCCTGCAGCCACAAAGACCATAACAGATACCATAGAAATAACAAGGAGAAGCTAGCACAAGAGGGCAAACTCAGCATGCATTAAGACTTCAAAGGCGGTGTTGACTGTTAGTACCTTTTGAAGACAAAACCAAGAAGATTGCCATTGATACTGAAAAAAAGGAGGAACAGCTTGAAGGAAGTAAGTAGAAGATACAGGGTCAGAGCAGCAAATTAATAGACAGAAGAGCAAAATTATAGAAGTCAAAGCCAGAAAAAGGCTTTTCAGTAGACTGGATTTTTATCCACTGGGAATTTGGAAGAAAAGTGAATTTGTATGGTCAGAGAGCTATAAAAACATTTTTTCCTGTTATGACAGGAAAAACAATGGAGGTTTTAAAAGTGAACTTACAAGGGTCGAGAGCGAAAATGGACACCTTCATTATAGACCTGAATGGCTGGGGAGAGATGGAGATATACCTTTACGGTGAGGAGAAAAGGCCCAGGGAAGACTAACAGTTTGGGGAGATAAAAAGATCATAATCCGCCTCAGGGGAGGATTCAGGCCATACTGAACCTAAGCTGATTTCTGAGCATTTGTGATGAGACAGGAGGAAGAGAGGCCAATATCCTAAGCTAATGATGGGACTTGTGTACTACCGCTGAATGGCTAGTTTATTGCACGCAGATACGGGACTATACTCATGACTAGGGACAAAAGGGTTTAAAGAACATGAGAGTGTGGCCGAGAATAAGCCTTTAGAAACAACCATCATACCACTCTCAGGAAGTCTGATAGAGCTTGTGGATAACACTACAGTAACTATGGGCAATAATTGTACACATAACATTAGCTCCTGTGAAATCCTCGGCTCTACAATTTCTTCTCAGTGTGAAAAGGGAGGACATTTATTAAAGGCACTATGTCTTACTGGCACAAACTCTTTGGATCAGTGGAGAAATAAGACTTTTAAATGCCAGTAGGATCAATAAAGAACCCAACGACATATGGGTGCTATGTCTAATTTTGAAGATGTAAGTCGTCAGAATATCATTGCTTAATGCAATGAGTATATTTTGTTTCAAAAATCAGAAGTGGTAGGAAAACTTTTATAGCAATTTACAAGAGTTGTAGAGTCTTCTGAACTACATTTTTAAGCAATTATCATGTTGGAGTCCATACTATATCTGATAAGGATATACTCCATATAGCATTAAAAAATTTGTACATTTTAGCAAAGTAATGTGATCAGTCAGTATTCTGCGTGAATTTCTCCCTTCTCGTATTCACACTGTCAGTTAATGATATTTTGTTTTAAAACTACATTAAACCTTATTATATTTTTTTTCATTTTGTTCTCAATGTCAAGCTGTCATGGTGTAGCATTTCAAAAGAGAATGACCAACTTGCAATGTAGTCAGTTTAATTGAAACCAAGAGTTCTTATACTAAATTTAAGATACTAAACTTATTTCCATGTTACCCTTTCAATTCTCAAGTGGCCATACAGAAGTTATTTCTGCACGAAAACTCTATGCAAATATTAGCACAGACAGACAAAACAGGGATACAGACTTTCCTCAAAACATTATGGCACGCAACACAAAACAGAGAGAATCCAGGTGTCTGGGCTTTGTATTTTCTGCATCTCTCTGATACTCCTCCAACCCAAAATATCTTTGAACTTCACCCAAATTTTGCATTTGGTAGAGAGATCTGAAAGGTATGGGTGTAAGTCAGGAGAAGGACCGTACCGCATCCTCACGGAGGGGTGGCTGGAGGAGCTCAGCCCTACCCGACTCCGCTCAGGCTTGGCAGCAGCAGAAGCACAGTGCAACCTGCACAGTTGGCAGAGGTTTTCTTCCAGGACAAGTAACACATACACCAGAACAGTTGCCATATGAAGTCCTCCCCGCCCAGCCAGCAGCCCAAGCAAAAGGGGATATAAATCCAGCAAATGCTCAAAACGTTGCTCAGCTAGGCGTCATGGCTAGGAGCTATGGGAGGGAACTAGCAACGACGCTGCATGTGGAGAACTAAGAGGGGATGTGGAGGAGGGTGGGGGTATGGAAACATAGTGCTGCAGGGATATGTGCAAGAACTGCAGTTGCTGGACTAGTCTGGATGAAGATGTAGGAACACGATATGGAAAGTCACAGTCAAACTAAAGACTAACCTAACTTTTATGATATTAAGTTTCTTTGGTAATTTATCTCAAAAGCAAAGTGTGATTGCTCAAGCTGTATGCAAATTTCTGTAACCTGTAGTTACACGTTCTTGAAGTTTAAATTGTACTAAAGGGAAAGTTAAATCATTTGTTCTAAGGATACATGATTGACAAAAAGTTATTGCTAATCATGTACTAGACAATTTCACCAGTCCTCACAGGAGTTCTGTTCCGGCATGCTTTGAACAGGTTTAAAATCAAAGCTTAATACTCTTTCAAGAGATGAAATATCACCTTGAATAAACACACCAGTACTTCAGAATTCTTCCTAAAAGGACTCACATGAAGCACTAAGCATTTGAGCGGGACTAGAGCACACCCAGAGACTGACACTACGTGCCAATGGATATAACAATGCCCAATAAAAACCAGTTAAGAACGCTGCAGTGGCAGCAAATGCAAGGGACTCCAAATTAAGTGTTTGATAATATTAATGCTGGTATTGCAACTGTTTTTCTATAACGAAGCCATAATTTTCAGCTCAAGTCCATATGTAAAAGGTGGTATACTTCTTGAGTGTCCACTACATACTATTTCTTAAAAACTTTGGTGTTTGATCCTGCACTACCTCAAGTTCGCATAATGACTGACTTCAGTGGAGTTAAAATACCAACTGACTTCACACAAGGAGATGCAGTTTTACAGGTTAATGCAGTGTTCAATTAAGGAACAGTTAAAATGTATTTAAATTAATTCAGTTCTTATATGAAGCCGTGAGTCCTTCAGACTTAAACTTCTAGGTTCAGCAAGTAGAGAGAAACACATAAGGAGTGTAGCCCACTCACACCTAAAGGCTGTAAGAGCAGTTCAGTTGTTATTGCCTCAACTGCTACAACGATGTCTAATAGCATACTATTTTTATATATGGCACAAGTTTCCCATATACTTAATGTAAAAACTTCTGGTTCTTTTCAACTGTGTTTGCTGCCAGTTTGCTCCGTGCAAATCAGTAACACAAAGACAATAATCTTGCATCTGCATGGGAAGCATCTCATCCCAAACAATGCTTGAGGAAATCCAGACTTCTCACAATTTTTACAGAGGTGTGGAAGAAGGAAAACACATATGTATATATGCTCCAGCTTGGTCAAGAAGGTCATCTCTTCAATAAACTCTGAAACTATTGTCCAGCCTCTGCAATAAGGGGTTTGGTTTTGATCAAGTGACAGACAGTGATGGACTTCTTTTTTAAATATTCCCCTGGTTCTAATATAGTTTTTCTAACTTTCCCTAAAAATGTAAGTGCCATTAGCCACTATTATTGTCTAACATAAAGAAAAATTTAAAATAAAAGCTACTTACCAATTTTGCAATGTCATTCACATCATCTGTCACTGGATTCCCGCAGGAACTCTGGGCTTTGACAAGAGGATTAAGTAGGAGTAGTTGAAGACAAAAGCAAGTGATAATCCAAGTCTATTTAGTTAAAAAAAAAAAAAAAAAGAAACAAGAAACCCTAAGTAAGCAATCTCCAAATGTGAAGTAACAAGAGATTGTAGTAATGTGTTTCATATACAAAGTCCAGATGCAACAATACTCTCCATCTTTCATGAGGACATACTCGTACCACTATAGCAAAATCTTTATGGCAGGGATCCACAGAATTGCACTTAATTGATCTTTTCTGGAAGCAAGTACCTTTAGAGTAATAATGGAAAAACTGGTATTGAGCCATCCGATTACTCGAGCAGGATCCTGCTTAGCTTCTGCAAAGTTTACAGATACCGAAGACTAAAAAGAGACAACCTTTGCAATATTCTTCATCACCAACATAAAGCTAACTAAATACTTGTCATTCACCTGATAAGGTATCTGATAAACCTGTGCCTCTAATGTGATAATGATTGATAAGGAACAAAATGATACCAGACCACAGCAAGGTAAAAAAAGAAAGTTCATAATTACAGTCATTACACTTGGGTACTTAAACTGCAAGCAAAACCACAACTGGACTCTGCCCAAATACTGAGATCTCCAGCAGCAATACGACACATTTTCTCTAAGTGGTGTGCCGTGGCCTCTCAGGAGCGGTAGCTTGGCTTTGGCACTACATTCCCCTCCGACATCCCATGAGGAACAGCAATGCAATGTACTCACACAGGCTTGCGAGACTCGGCCAGAAAAGCACCGGATAACTCGCTGCCATGCACCTGGGTGTCTCCTTGGTTACCCTGCCTGAACTTCCTCGCCTTCTCTTGTTCCTTCTGCTTCACCCCTTTCCCACAGAGCCTCGTGCCAAGTTTAAGCTGCAAATCTTTATTTCCAGAATGTTAAAGCATTTAAGTTATGGATAATCAAAAGTTGCCTCGGGTTGTGAAGCTGCTTGTGCCAGCTGAGTGAAGCTGTCCGCAAGAGCAGATGATGGGGTGCATTTACTGCAAGAAAGGAGTTCGCCTGTGCAGGCTCCTGAGCCCCCACGAGGGCAGGACCGAGACCAGAATTTGCTTTTGCACAAACCAAGATGAATCTCAGCCCTGTCTGTTCCCTGTGACAGGCAGAGCTCCTGTCTCCAGCCTTGCCTTCAAAGGCTATCCAACCTTTCAATTGAAGACCAAAGCAAATCAAACAACAGAGATGAAGCCTTCTAGGAAAGCAGAGAGAGCAAATCACAGATTTAAAAGATTAAGTATCATTACCTAGAGGGGCTAAGAAAGCATGATGATAGAGATTGCTCAGGAGCTACATAAACATGATGGAACAGTGCCAGGCATTTTACCTACAGCTGTTAAATGACAAGTAAATCTCTCTCTTGTATCTTATATCTCTCAAATCTTGTATGTATCTTACACCTCAAGTAAAACTGGTCATTTGCTTTCTTAGAATACGGCTTCCTGACTCATTTAGGTAAAACCAGTGTGGGCTGCTGCTGGAAAAGACAGTCCAGCCTCCTCCTCCTACCTCTTGCATTGGCACTGGTGAGATGGTTTAGCCAGCTGTACCAGGCAGACAACTTCCATTTTTGTTTTCCTGTGCTTTCTTCAGGTGGACCAGCTTTCTGATCCAGGTAACTGAGACAGCAGAAATGCTCTGTTACAGATGGGACAAGCCAGGACTGCCCGTTTCGGTGGAGCCTGGACTCAGCTTTCCCTAAACTGTACCTTCAGACACCACAGGATCATGATGATGGGTAGAGTCACACACAAAGAAATCATAAATATTCTAAACAAAGTACACATTCAATACACAGCATGACTTTTGAGAATGCCTCTAGCATTTAGAAATACCTTTAATTTAGTATCTGTACAAATAATTATTGAGAATAATTATCTATGTGAAGAATTGAGAATAAGTACCTAACCTGAAGTTAGGTACCTAACGGTCTTTCTTAGAAAACCTCTGTATCTTATGCTATACAAAGCTTTGCAGTTACACATACAGGAAAAATTCAAGTGCTGGGGAGATGCAATGAAGGCACTGCTAGTTTCCGAAAGGACCTCTGAGAGCTCCTTGCAGTGTACAAGAGCTCAAAATTGTTTAAGAACTAGCTTTACGTGGTCAGAGAAACATCTCCCTCTCCTCACATAAGCTCCAGAATCACAGAGGAAACCAAAGGGGACCTCGAGTTAACAGACTCCTTCCCCACTGCGTTTTTTGGAACAAAATTGTTGTAAAAAAGGCAAGAAGTTAATGACAACCAGCTCCAAAATAGACTAAATATACTGCTTTCAAGAATTAAAGAAAAAAGTAGTTCTACCTTCAGAGTTAAACAATACACCAGCAGTTACACTCGCTGGGGGTTCAGGGACGTTTCCCTGACGTGTTCTTTGGAGATGAGTCCACGCCAGAAATAGCCGATTTCTTTATCCAGTTCCTCAATATTGACTAGTATGCAAAGGAAGATGGGATTTGTTCACTGACTTGTGTCACTGTCATAGGATAATAATCAAAATAGTACCAAAACTCTTTAACTGGAAATACTTTTTTGCCAGATCAGCTGAGTAATATTAATAAAAACAGCAGCACACTCCAAATAAAACCAGAACTCTGATGCATCTTGTCAATTTTCATACTTCTGGATCTAAAGACAACCCATACGTGAAGCTTAAAATCACTACACATGCCATAATTACGCAAATCAGTAAGAATACACTTTTTTCCTATGTAAATAAGGGGATTTAAAAGCATAGCAAGTTTTATAACTGTTATTAAAAACAAATGCTTTGTAAATTTTGAGATGATTTGAGGTTTTTCTTGCTTATTTGTTCCCTATGTCATCCAACAGGAACTGAAAATCTGAAAAATACTGCTAGTTTCAACACGCCTATTATCCAAAATCTTTTAATTATTTGCACTTACAAAATATAAATATTACACATGCCTACAGGCACATTGTATGTAAGGACTGTATAGATCAAAGAGCTAAGCTATTTTTGTGTTATTTACTAATGACCAAACCTGCTGTTTGAGCAAAACTCAAATGGACTGAATTAAATCAAGGACAGAACAAAAGGGAACCTTAAACAACAGCTTTATAAATAGAGATTCCAGTTTTACACTTTACTAAGCATAAATGAAAGTTACCCACACAGCACTCATAACAGATTTCCATATATAATTACTTCTAAGCTAAAATGGGATTTCCAAAGCTGGCCACAGGATTTAATCACACATCATCTATTAGCATTAAATTGAAGATATACGACAGACAAGAGGCAGACTTGTATACCAAAGGGCTTCTCCCTATTTTTGGCTAAAAAATTATTCAATTGTTTTTATACTTCAAAATCTCTCAGACACCGAACATTTAAGTTGCTTTTGTGAAAGGGGGAAAAACAATGATTAGACAGGAAAAGATAATTCAAATTAAAGATTTCAAGTATACCCTTTCGATCACTCTGCAAATTATTTTTACTATTGCTTGTAAGCCACAATCTGTAATTCCAGTTAACAGCATTTTAGAGGCTTAGCTAATGATCCAATGTGTTGAAGGCCATCCTTTCAGCTGTAAATCAAGAACTTTTTCATTTATGTTCTTCATTTACAATCTGGAGTGTTGACAAAGGCTGCTGAATGAGTGCTTTAGCATCTTTTTCACAGCATGCTATCAAAGATACTTAGTCATGCTGGTTAATATTCAGCTAATTCCTTAAGTGGAAAGCAGCAAGGGGAATACCAAATTGCTAAATAAGCCAAACATTGGAAAGTTTGGACATTTCCAAATATCTAGTTTGTACTGATAACAATCTAATCATAAGTAGGGGGAAATCATCCAAAGAAGAAAAAAGGCAAATAATGAAATGCAAAAAAACCATTAAGCACAAGGAGAGGTAGTAACTATACAGATGAATGAGTTCTTCATTACAAAATTTCTTGCATTCAAATTGTGTTAGCCACAGAATTTTTCAGCCCAGTTTCTTGAGCAAATCATCCAACGAACCACAGCCAAGCCACGGCTGCAGTAGGGTTAGCTGACAACGTGGAACAACATTTACCCTGGGCCAGGCTTCCCAAATTCATTTTCCACTTCTGCTAATGCTGGGGTAGGAACTTCTCTCAATATTGGCTCCTCAGGCAGCGTTTGCATACTGCTTTGCTGAGGCACAGCTTCTGAACTTCTGCCATAGGCAACACTGGTTGGTCAGTCACGGATACCTAACTTAATGCTCATACTTATGCCTTAGAAAGCCTTTTGTAGGAAGATTCAGAGAAAATGAAAACAGCAAGAAAAAATATTTCTTACCTTTATTATTTTTTTTAACTACAAAGCATCCAGAAGCATAAAAGCACAATAATTCTTTCATATGTCTACCAATCTATTTAGTTATTCACCTGTGATAGAGATCATTAAAGTCACGGAATAATTGTCCTTAAGCAATTAAGAAATTTAAAGTCAGCATGGCAAAATCTTAAAATGAAAGAAGAGCATTTACAGAGAATATAATCCAATTCCCATTTTTGTAGTATTCAGCGATACCTCCACCCATGCAAATGACAGCGGTAACTTTAAGAGGCTGCACCTAAATACTACTTAAATGCTAAATATTGCTCAAGCCCCCCAAAAGTCAGTTAAGTGTGGAAAAGAAAAGGTCACCCACCTATGACCACCTAGTTCTGGAAGCAGTGAAGTATTTTGGCAAGTACATTTGGAAGGGGAAAGGTCCCTACGGACTCTCATGTACCCAGGAGACAACTTCAGTGTAGTTGGAGGAACCACTATGTGAACCCTGAGTAACATGGAGTTGAAGCATTAAGTCGAGTGTACACCCATCACTGTCCTTCAAAAGACTGACACTAGTCTCACCAAATATAGTAGCCTATCAACTAAGGTGCTCACTAATAAGTGAGAGACCTGGGTTAAATTTCCTCTAACCAAGGTAATTCCAACTCACAGGAATTAGGATCTGTTCCTCTGATATCTACCTTGTAATTACCACTACAGGTACTTTCCCCCTGTGATGGCTGCCTGGCCAGAAGGGGCAAAATGGGGGTACACTGGTATCCTGACCCTTATTTTTCAGAGCATTTATGCATTTTACACTGGCAAGCCATTACATGGAAAAAAAAAAAAAAGACATGTTCGCTGCACAGGCATCAGAACGTTTATGTGTATCCTCGTCTCGCACATGCTCCTCCATCTGGGCACCCTAACTTCTGGGAAGCTCCCCAGTCAACGTCTGAGTTTTCTTGAACAACCTTTTGGCAGTCCATTGAACAAAAGGCAGGCTAACTCCAGTTTAGTGAGTCACCCTGCCGGGGTGCGACACCTAAAAATCTCTGGATCACACCCTATGTGCTTTGTTATGATTACAAAAAGCAGATGCATACTTTTCTAGTGACTGATACTATTCTTCGTTTGTTGGTTTTTTTTGGTTTTTTTTTTTTTTTTAAAAACGATGTGTAGTAGGGAGAATGATGATAAAAGTAAACAAAACTCATCAGGGAGTATCAGAGTGATTTATCTGTATTTTGATTTAAACAGACTAGAGAAATGCTGGTCACTTTTTCAGAGTAAGTTTTGGAGTGCTTTAGACAAATATTTGAACATGTATTCAGTTATTTACAAATTTACACGTGCAAAGGAAAAGCCAACTGCTGTATCCAGGTGCTAACAGATCTTGTTCCCTTTTAAGGTACACTGCTAATAAAGTAGAAATAACTCTATTCAGGGCAATAGATAAAAGTAGTCCCAAACCCATTAAATGCTAATGCAGAACCACTTTTTCTTCAGCTAGAAGGAGAAACAATTCTCTAGTTCTGCCAAGCTATACACATCTTTTTCCTGAGACAGACAAATTTAAGATACATGGCCTTACTGAGAAAGTGATGAATCACACTATTCTTTCCCACCATCCAGATCTTGAGAAAGCTAGGAAGCTGCTTAGATTATATGTCAGCCTCATTTCATGCAACCTCGGGCCAATTGCTATCATCCTCTACCCCTTCCAGCTCGCCTTGACAGATGCCAAAGCAGCAGGCTGCTCCAGCCAACGTGCTACCCTTGCACTTTGTAAGCTGCAACCAAACTCCTGCTGTGTTTGGTTTGTGCGCTTCAGCTGGAACCAAGATGAACATGATAAGCAAGAAGTGTAAATTGATATGGAGTTTGCCTTGCAAATCAATGTAATCCAGGTATTTTGTAATTACATTCAGTAAACTACAAAACAGTGTTTTTAACATATAAATTAATGTATTTATTTTCCATCCTTGTAAGGATATCAATCTAAAATATTTGGCTATTCCAAAAATGTTGGCTTCGGCTCTTTAAGAATGTTATCTGTTCCATAATAAATTTTGTCCACTGTTTAATCTCGCTTGACAATCAGGGATTCAGGCAGTTTCCATGCATCCTAAATCTGTCCTGTATGACAGCCAGTTTGTTTAGTTCTCAAACACTGGGAAGTGAAGTTACCAAGAAACAGGTAATTATATACGCACGTTGCCTCTGGAGCTTGTGTTAATGGCAACCAAACAAATATTTACTGATAATCATCCATCAGGTGGCATTCTAGCTCTGCAAAGAACCGGGAGTTTTATGGACAAAAATGTTTCAATTGGAAGAAAGGTCAAAAATTTAAAAAAAAAATATTTTGAAAGAAGTCTTCCTGTTAAGTCATAATCACAGATTATGAGGATCTTCAGAGATCCTGCACTTAGCACAGTCTTTCTAGTACGTATATACTGGCAAGAGATTTTTTTTTTTCTTCCCCTCTCCTTGTAAAGTTCCATTACAATCATCCAGGATTGGCACTAAAATTTTACATTTTTGTATCCCACTTCAAAGTGATAAAGACCAATATTTACTTGTTCTGTTAATGGAGACACTGAGATCCAAAATACCTACACAATCAAAATAGAAATAAGCAGAAGACCAGACTTCAGTTGACTCAACAAAATCTCCCACAAACTCCAAAGAGGAAGTTGTCTCTTTTCTTCCCCTCCTGGAAACTTATGAAAGACTTTTATAGCATAAATCCAAAGGCATTTTTAAGTAATTGAAAAGGGAAGGCAAAGTAAGATACAAGATTATCTTGGCAGGGAGGATGAGATTCTCACACTGTATGGAGGTGGATGATCTGACTTCCTCAGGGAATGGAAAGATATTCTCTTAAGTAAAATACTTAATTAAAGATTGTTTTTAAAGACCTATTTCAGATGTCTTGCTTGTTTGCCAAGTTTGTGCAAGAAAATCCACTATCTTGAATATTCTTTTGAATTATAATGAAAATGTATACAGAGCCACCCTTTTTAATCTTAGACCTTCAAACACCAGTAAAGGAAATGGAATAAGAGTTGTTACAGAAATTCTGTACCGGCTCTTTCATTCTTACCATCTGCTACAAAGTACATGGAATTTGGGTTGGGAGAACCATTACATTGACAAGGAAAAAAAATAAAAATATCAAGAACAGTGAAAACATCAGCTATTTTGATACTTGGTATATGATGAAACTCATATACGTGATGAAAATGTCTCTGTCCTCCATAGTATTTCATCTGTAGCATGAAGTAAAACAGGTTAAGTGTATTCTTACTCTTTCATGCACATAAACTTAGCTGGAAAGTAAATGGTATTCTAAGTCTGAAGACTTTTCAGTTCATGCTTGAGTCTGTGGAAAGAGAACATCAGGAAAAAATATTCTTATACAAAATTAAAAGGTTTTTAGGCTTTTTTTTTCCTTTTTTTCCCCCCTTTTCAATCCTTTTATACTTTCTTGTATAAACATAGGATGATTTTTGAAATATAAATCACAGACTGGTCAACTTGGTCTTAAACCAAAGACAAGGCCTCAGAAAGACACTGTTCTGTTTCTGAACTCTGAATTTCTTTGATAACATCCCTAATAGGTCCTGTATCTTTATAGGGATATAAATTCAGAACTAGTCTCTCTGGCCTGCTCAATATGAGTGACCCCATTACAAAAGGATAGTTGCTGAACACGGACTAAAACTAGATGTCAGTACAGTCAAGACTCTGTATTTCATCCACCTACCTTACTGGTATTATATCCTTACAATTACAAGCTTAGATGTGATTAAAGAGCACTGTTTGGATCTCTCGGACATGCCAACACCAGTATAAGCTTTGACAGTGCAGAAGGATGATATTTTTTCACATCAGTATTGTACTATATATCATGAGACTTAATCTCCTGACTTTGTACAGCTGCTGTCTACATTGGTGGTCTACAAGAGCACTCAGGATAAGGTGAAAAACAGGGGTTGCATAAATTATATGGTTTACATCATGATAAAGATCACGGGATTGAGCCCCAGCAGCTTTCCTCAGTCTCTCTGCCATTGTGAAGATCTCACAACTAACATCATGCAAATGTGGCACTCTGCAGTCCATCCAGAAAGTAGCAGATGATGCCTGAGTTTAAGGCAAATGATATCAGTAATCTGAATTCCAACATACAGGGGTAGGTCTGGGCAGTCCTGCTCAACAGGCAACCAAAAAACTGGTATTCCTGGAGCATAAATCTCTTGACTGATTTTATTTGCCCCATTCCACATCAGGTGTCAGTTTTCAAAGTGGGCTTTGGGTAACTCCTGGGATAGGCAGGCTCCAGATAATGGTTCTATTATATCCCATTCCTTCGATGCCACAGACAGCTTACATTTGTAATAGGACTGGATAAAACCAAACAAAGAGTGCAGGAGTAAACTGGGAGTGGAGGGAATAATCATCAAATCATAGAATCATTTAGGTTGGAAAAGACCTCTCAGATCATGGAGTCCAACCGTTAACCTAGCACTGCCAAGCCCACCACTAAACCATGTCCCTAAGCACCATGTCTACACATCTTTTAAATACCTCCAGGGATGGTAACTCAACCACGTCCCCGGGCAGCCTGTTCCAGTGCTTGACAACACCTTTGGAGAAGAAGTTTTTCCTCATATCCAATCTAAACCCCCCCGGCACAACTTAAGGCCGTTTCCTCTTGTCCTATCACTTGTTACTTTGGAGAAGAGACCGACCCCCACCTGGCTACCCCCTCCTTTCAGGTCGTTGTAGAGAGCGATCAGGTCTCCCCTCAGCCTCCTCTTCTCCAGACCAAACCCCCCCAGCTCCCTCAGCCGCTCCCCATCAGACTTGTGCTCCAGACCCTTCACCACCTTCGTTGCCCTTCCCTGGACTCGCTCCAGCACCTCAAGGGCTTTCTTGTGGTGAGGGGCCCAGGACTCAGCACAGCATTCGAGGTGAATCTTGGGAAATTGTTCCAGATCTTCAGTGTTCCGATCGTTAAAAGCCTTCTTGTATCGTCCAGTTTAAGTGTACTGATAGCAGTTTATACCAATGTGTTCACATGGCAACACTGCTCCTTTGCTTTGTAGTTATACTCCCATCTTTCTGGTTTGTTCTCTTGATGTGTTTATGGAGATCAATGCTACTATCTGAGTCTTCGTTATGTGTAATTAAAAAGCCCACCTAATTTCCAGTGCTCCATGACATAGAAGCAACACAAAAAACCCAAAAAAACCTCATGGAAAATAAACAAAGCATTCCCTTTCTCTTACCTCCTCTCAGATTACAAATTGTATTATTTGCTCTCCAGAATACCTTATTTTCACACGCTCTCCTCTCCATCAAATGTAAACAGAGGATTACCCTACCTCTTATCGGGCATTGTTGCGGCTATTACAATGGATGAAGTACCCAGCCAGGTGGTTGCTTCTGAAGCGAAGAGGAGCAAACAACTTAAAATCAACACTTTAAGTCATGCAACTTTTAAATGGGATCGCTCCTCATTAGTCAGAGCAGTTTCTCCCACTGATAAATAACAGCTGACATAAAAGGTATTCCCAATTTATTCACACAAAAGCTGGCTTCTCTGGATATATTCCAGACAGTAGCACCTGCGTCAACTTAAAAAGGCTTGGAACAGGAAATTTCAACGCACCAGAACTGAGAAGTTTTCACTTGGATCCCCCAAAACCTCAGTTGGTAAGTTTTCAAATTATGACGTAACATGTATTTTCTCTTGTAAAATGTTGGTGAGGAAAGTGATTTTCCATTTTGAAGAGACTAAAAAAACTCCAAACCAACCAGATATTTAGCCAAGCCTAAGGTCAAAGTTTTCAGCATCAACTACAACATTGATGAAAGAAAGTCATTCTGCTTTTTAGTTGCTTTAAATCGCAGACCTTTTGGGAAATACTTAAAGACTATTTTAGGTTTCCTTCTATCCTCAGTAGTGACACCTAAAATTTTGAACATGAGTAATAAAAGCTTTTAGTCATTCTTTCAGAATTCAAAAGATACTTTTATAAGCATTACTCTAAATCTGATTATGATTACCCTGTATCATGTAACAGAGATGAAAAGTTTTCTTCACACGCTTCTCTACTGTAGGATGAAAGAGTGCCATTACACAACCCGGCTGCAGAAACGGGGCCAGGTTATGGTCTTCCACAGTGAAGCTTGAGTTTCTGCTCCTTCTCACTATATTTCATTTCATTGAGAAATTTACTACATTGGACATAATGTCTATTAGTGATGTGCCTGTGTACCGTTCGTGATTTAAAAACACAGCTTTAGAGATTTAATGTAGTCTTTTACAAGCATCTTGCATGCTAAACACTATGCTAAGTCAACAGAAGACCTAGTATGTGCCAGAAGTGAATATTCAGAGGAAAATTTAACATAACAGTGCCTCGTTTGTTAGAAACAGTTTAAATTTTAAAACAAATACATAACCCTTTCCATACCATGTTCTGTTTCCAACCAGACATGTTGTTAGGCAATGAAGTCGGCTTCCAGCCCCATCAACAGCCACTGCAGACATTTTAACAATAATCTATAGTAATTTTTTACGAAAACTGCAGGAGGTTTCTCAAGAGAATTGTTCAGGGGAGAGGATTAAAAGCACCTACAGGCAAGCCATTTAAAAGTCAGCATACTAAAAAGACAACAAAAGTGAAAAATAAAGCCTGTATCTGCTGGCTTTGGTGCTGTTTCAACCTTCCTTTAATCAGGAGATGCAGGAAAAACCCTGAGGATTTTCAGCTTGTTGAACTTCTTTGTCACAATAAAAATCCTATTGTTCTTTGTTCATTTACACAGCGTTTCTTGATACAGTAGTTAGCTAACCAGAAGGTCTGTTGCAGTATTTCCCTGGGAAATGTGTAAGTTTAAACTTCACCATTCAAAAACTTGGAGCGTATGACTGTGCATTTGTCAATAACCAAACGAAGTTTCAGTGAGGCCATCAGAAACAACAGTGCAAGGATTACATTCTCTCTAAACCTATTTAAAACTATTCATTTTCAAGACTTCAGTAGACCTCGATTTTGTACTTCTTACCACTATTCCTAACAAGCTGAGCTGTATGTATCAGTAGTGCACAGAGAAATGTTTGTGAGAATCAGGCAAGTTTATCTCATCTGTTTCCAAATAACAGAGAGTAAACCAAAATCAGATTTAAATTGTTTTCTGACTGGAAAAAAAAACCCAAACTTTTTCCAGATCCTGATTTCAACTCAGTTCTCTCATTTATTTACAAAAGCTACCCAGTAAATATTTTTACTTCCAAAAAATGCTCTAAGCTCTTAGCATTTTATTTCCTACATAATTTGAATCGCATGCTTTCCTATACATACTCAAAAACAAAGTGAACAATTTAGCTTAAAGTAATGAACTGTGAAAGAATAACACAATCTTACATTGACACTGTTCTTAGAATACAAGTACACCAAGAATGGAGCTATATTTTTTTGTGAAAAGAATATTTATCCAAAGCAATAGACTGATGGATAAGATTAATCTCAAATGCCTTGAAGTTACAGCTTGTGGGACTGCAGACAAATCAGGTAAATGCCACATCAAATTAGAAACTAATCTTCAAAACATTTAATTATGCTTGCAAGACAACGTAAGCACTGGGCAGGCAGTAAGCCATTTACCTCAGCAAGCTGGAATTACAAATACATTATGCTTTGTCTTAAAGCAATTATGTTGGTGTATTAGTAAGAAAAAAAAAATCAACTATATTTTTTTTCAAGTTTTCAATCTAAATTGAAAACATTTTCAAATGTCAAAAATACCGTAGCGATTATTATTATTGTCCAACTGCACATCCTTTTATCATAGAAAATAACCATCAATTCCTTTCTCAAGATTTACTAAAATGCATCGTGCCATTGATAATTTTAGAAGTTCTTTCTGAAATTATTTTCCTGAGACATATGCATTATTTCTTTTCTAAAGAAAGCCAATTGTGACAACGGCCATTTTACGTATTCGAAGCAATGTATAAGGTTGTTCCAGGGCAGCGTAACTTGAAGATGGCAAAAATGGGATGGGACTGATCAAAATGCTTCCTATAACATAAAAAGCCAGTGACTGCATTAGTGCATCAAAAACTCAAGTATATTTTGAATTCTTATGAACCCCTAAAAGGGGAAGACATACTTGTAAGTGCCTTTCCCTGTTGATACTGAAGTACTGTACACGAGTATCTTTCAGTGATGGTCCATGGAAACTCCACTGTCTTTCAATGGCTAGACCTATGCAACATGTCAACATTGCATAAAAATTTTATGAGTTCTAACCATTCATACTCACATGCTAAAAGAAAGATCTTTCAGTATAAATGTCTCAGCTGTCATTACTTTCACATGTAATCGGAGTTCAGCTACAATATATTTCAAAGCGTTTTCCTTTTCTCAAAACTACAGGCTGAATTGTTACAGATGGTAATTTTGGCAGATGGTTGTATATGAAACTGAGTTTATAATTAGGCCAAATATGACTTGTGCAATTAAGGCAATGAAGATTTGGAAAATAAGAAGTGTCAGATCAGTACATGATCAGTCTGGTGGCCACAGAAAACTGAAGAAACCTGATCATTCATACTTACAGAATATATTGCCTATATGAAAATTTCTTCCTAATTACATGAATTAGAAGATAAGCAACCTTTCATGCCCAGAGTGTAAACTAAAGTAACCATGGCTTTTTACCTACTTAAGTGTCTAATCCTTTTTTCTTCAGTCGAGGTTAATGAGATGGTCCGAAGCAATCTAACAGCTCCCTGCTGCTGAGAGAGGGCCCTCAGCATCTCCTTCTCCGCAGCTTCCCTCCCTCTGACATTCACCCGACCCCTCAGCAAGTCAGTAAATTCACAGACAGTGACTAGCCAATTGAGCTCCGAGACACAGAACTAATCCCTGAGGAACGAGCGGAGGAGGAGAAGAGATGTGGAAGGAGAAGAGTAGGACTACTCCTTTCGGTGGAAGTGACCTCTTGGGCTCACTCTAACATATATCAAGCTGCACTTCAAGGCATATTATATCTAGGGTCAAAAACCTTTCCAGACTGGTAATTGTGTGTGAAGGTAGCATTGCCTGTTTTAGCATCTTCTGACTTTCAACTGTGTTAAATATGTCTTTGCTGTTGTACCAAGAAAGGATCAGAAATGCCCAGTAATCATGCTCTTTACTACTTCTTGCATATCACTCAGTAGTTTCTTGCCCTCAGCTTTCAGTCCCCCTTCATATGCACATTGTCTCTATATAATGCTTTTGCCTATTTTAGTACCACTATTTCTGTTATATTCTTTCTCCCAGAGAGTGCAACCAGGAGTTTTTTTCCCTGATGGCAGATTATCACCATCATAAAAGCATTCCAATTTACATTTCTCTTTCTGCGCCTACTGCATCCCAGTATGTTGGTTGATTTGTTCTACTACAGGTACAACATAGGGATTTTTCATCCCTTTTTCCTGACCAAGTATTACCACAAGAACATTAAAAAAGAGCTTGTAAGTAGGTTTTGTAACTCACTAAAACTGCTGTTATTAATGTAGTTACAATAAGTTCAAAACATTCCTTCCAAAATGCATCTCCCTTGCTCTTCAACAAACTGAACTCCACTTGCCATCACGCCATCTGTTCTCCTATCTTCCCTAAACCTTTACAAAGTTCCTCAGAATCTCTTTTAGTTTCAATTAACCTGAGTAATTTATGTAGCTTGCACATGTTGTCATCAATCTGTGAACCCTCTTACCAGATTGAACTATATGAGGTTGCTGATAATTAGAGAACATTACCTCTTAGGTTTTTGCCATGTTACAAGTTAATGACTTATTCCTACACTTTGCTTTCTGTCCCTAAATCATTTTTTCCTCAAACTGTTATGATAAAGGAGATATAATATGGGGTTACTTAGGGGTTTTTTTGACTTTTTTTAAAAAAATCTAAATAAGTCATTTCAGTACTTTCTCCTTATTCATCCATTTTGAAATACAAAGAATTTTATTACATCGAAAGCATTTCTTTTACAGGAGTCGGGCTTTTCTATTGCTTTCATTGGACTCTATGTTAGAGTTCCCACCTTCCTTCTCCCAACTGATTTAAATACAGCAATACAGCTGTTAAGAAAAATTCTTTTTAAAACTCTGGACATATTCATTAAAGGCAAGAATTAAGAGTTAATGCGTTAAGAGTTACTGTATATTTAAGAGAATGGATGAAACACCATGATCACCTATTTTTATCAAGTTTATCACCTTGCCTTTACTGTAAAATTAATCCAAGTTATAATTTCTATCCTGCCCCGACCTTTAGACCTGTCCATACAAACTGTAATTCTAATATCCTGGTGGTTTGTGGGTGGGTTTAGGTAGGG